TATCTCCTCCCAGTGTACCAATAGTTGCTGATCCTCCAACTGGTCCAATATATGAGAGTACAAGTTTCTTACTAACCTGTACAGCTACAGTAAACACCACAATAGTGGATACACCAGTAACTGCTAGTGTAGTATGGACTGATCCTAGTGGTAATGTAATACCAACTAATGAAGCAAGGCGTCAAGTGATACCTCCAACTGGTAACAGTCTTGTAAGCATGCTATTGTTTCAACCTATTGATACTGGTCTTAATAATGATGGAGGAACATATACCTGTCAAATGATCATCAATTCTGGTAACTCATTAATAGCATCAAGTCAAGCTAGTACAACTCATACTGTTACGGTTGAAAGTAGGTGGTAGCACATACTACAATGATTACAGTTCTTTCTGCCCCCTCTTCCTTTTGTTTCTACTTTCTCTTTTTCTACCAGGTCTTCCTCCAATGACAGTAGATTTCTCATCAGTTGGTTCAGTTGAATTTTGTCAGAGTCTAACTATAACATGTACCATAACAACAGTTGAGAGATTAGTAGTAACACCAATGATTACTTTCATTAAAATGAATGATACAGATATGGAAATGCTCTCTAACTTAAATAGACCATACAGTATCACAACAGATGATACTGGTTCAGTTACTAACTATACTCTAATACTGGATCCAGTGAGGTTTGAAGATGCTGGAATGTATACATGTATGGCTGAGTTTAATGTAACTGGTTTTAATAATACCAATGATCCTAGCACTGCTACTTATGATTATCAAGAGGCTAATGGCAACTTTATTTTGATCTTCGATAGTAAGTCAACTATTATACTGTGTTCTACTCAAGTGTTTAAATTGAAAAAGTACATTACAGATTTAATCATAAGTTTTATATGATGATTGATTTTAAATTTATACTGATTTTGTTATCTTCTTACAGTTCCACCAGTGATTGTTACTATATCAAAGGAACATAACGATACATTATATGCAGGGACACCATTCTTCATTAAATGTGACATAATGTTGAATCCATTAGTTTCTATACCAGTGACTGTCACTAATCAATGGACACGTGATGGTACTAATGTTCCTATGGGTTCATCTGATGTTACTATTACTGAGGGTCTCAATATGATCATAGGCGGCTGCAGGGTCGGGCATTTAGGGGCAATGCCCGACCAAAAATTCTGACCGGAAGTGTGACATCACCATAATTAATAGTTATTCTATGGTTAATTAATAGTTAATAACAGTTATTGCAACAGATTTATGTACTCAATTTCAATTTTTTATGAAAATCTTATAATTATGAATGCATAAATGGCAGGCTGATAACAAGGTGATGAAAAGAGACTAAATAAAGGAGGAGGTGGTAAGACTTTGGTGCCAATCACAGTGGGCCACCACAGCAACACTAGAAAGCATAATCATTTCATTATTTAGTGCTATTTCAGTGTTCTTTTCTTGTCAGTTGCAATGTCTAAAAGCCTGGACTAGCTTCACTATGTCCTTTGTGAACAAGCCTGCTAAAAAGGAACAACAGTTTACAAAGTGAACCTAGTAAGTACAGTATAGAAGTCAATAATACAGATTATCTCATATTCTTACTTTAGATCAGTCTCTTGCTGAATCAGTTGATGATCATGAGTCTCAGTCTACTCTTGTGGTTGATACAGCTACAGTTGATGTACAGTCAATTGTTGCTCATTCTCCATCACCCTATTCTTCTACTTCCTCTACTAATACTACTACTAGTACTATTACCACTACAGAAGTCAGTGTTGGAGCTACACCACCCACTACTTTATTACAATAACCTTCGCTACCAAAAAATTGCGCTAAAAAGGGTGCGTAAAAGAGGGTGTACCAAAATCGCGGTGCGCTTCGCGCGCCCAACCCATTTCCTGTGCCACACCCATGCCCGACTACTAGTCAAATTCTGCAGCCGCCTATGAATATGGATCAATACATTACATTATAATGCAACATTAATGTTCTATCCATTGGATAATGCTGATGATAGCGGAATGTATACTTGTAATGTTGAAGTGACTGCTCCTAATAGTTACATATATCTCAGAAATACATCAGCTAATGCTAGTATTTCCATTACAGTTATTGGTAAATAATTCTTATGCCACTTTTGCTTTGTTTAAATCCCTTCTTAATTTTCCTTCCCTCTCTCTCCTCTCATTACAGCTACTCCAGAGCCACTAGTAGAGATAGTATCTATGGGTATTGCTGAACCTGGTAAAGAATACATGTTAAATTGTACAGTGACAATTGTTGATAGACTCATAGTCTCACCAGTGATAACATGGAGTAAGAGATCAGCTAACAATGTTATTAGTGTACCTCCAGATCTTATGACTGTATCTAATGTAATGAGTTCTCTTTATTTGAATTTCTCTTCTCTCAATACTTCTGATGCTGGCCTGTATACTTGTGAAGCCTCCATTAATGTTAGTCAGATGTCCATGGTAGCAAGGAATAATGAATTTTGGAATTTACTATTAAAAAGTAAGATCACATCAATCATTTGGAACTTTACCATCATAGTTTCTGTTATAAATCATTTTAGTTACAATTCCATTCGTTTACCTACATGTAAGCCAATCAAGAGAATCTAACTTATTAGCTGGCAGTAACCTGATACTAACATGTGATATCAGTGTTGATCCTAATGTTGATACACCATTCACTGTTAATGTAACCTGGAACATGACTGATCAACAGATCATGAGTAATAGTAATTTTGGAGGTGAAATTAATTCCAGTTCAATACTTGCTGATACAGATCGTGTTAATATCAGCTCTGTTATGATGAGATCAGGTTTCAATGAGTATAGATCAACACTTAATTTCACTACATTGAGCAGTATTGAGGATTCAGGAACATATACATGTATTGTTACTATAGTACCAGCTTCAGCTTATGAATATGTAATGACTTCTGATACCAATTACACAAACATTCACTTCATAGTTACTGGTAAGCTTTAAAATGTAGTTATGT